GTAAAAAAAAAAGAAGAAGTAATACAACAAGCAAAAAAAAATATAGTACAACATCTTTTTCTTTTGTCAAAAAAAAAAAAGAAGAAGACAATCAACAAGTATCATATTTTTCTTTAAAAAATAAAATAAGAGATAACACAATAAGTATTTCTTGTCAAAAAAATAAAAGGTATTTCTTAATACAACCTAGGAATAAATTGTCTGATTATATTTTTTATTTTTATAACATGATGGTCTTTAACATAAATTTAGTAATATTAATTTCAAGATAGGATTCATATAATGAGACTATTTGAAATCTCTCTCTTTCTACTAAGTAGTACTAACAATCTCTTCCACTAATTTATTCTAAAAACCTAAAAAATTAAAGAAAATTGGTACGCATTCTAATAATTTCCACATTGATAACCAAATATTTTATTTTATTTATTAATTTTTGTATTATAAATCATGTAGTGTACTATTTTTATTACAGTTGTAATTAATACATTTTAAATTAGATGATATTATAAAATATTTTGGATTTGTTAATATTTATATAATAAAATAATTATAAAAAATACTGTTGGTATATAATATTATAGTTAATTAGGTTGTAATAATTTGGGTTTTTTTAGCGGATTACGGTTTTCCGTCAATTCGAGATTTTAGTGGCCAAGTTTTCATCGATTTAGTCAACTCTTTATTGTAGTCCATATATGATTATATACTTAATCCATGATAATTCTTTGATTTTTTTGGGTGACGTAAATTTAATGGTCAACATAAGTTCATACAGGGAAAGAACATCTCAATATTCATAAATTGATGAAAACAATGACAGTTAATAATGTAGTATCCTCTTTTCTTATTGGATTCCTAAAAACAACATTTATAATGAATTTTAATATTTTTTTTGAATTTTTTTAAGGCTTAATCCGAGCGATTCGGCCCGATTCTCGATTTGGATCGCCGATTCGCCGATTCGGATAGGTTTTTGGGATGTCCGATCTTGGTCACCGATCCGTTTTTTAAACTACTGCTTAGTACAAAAAAAATTAATAGTAGTGAGAAGTAATGCTTTCACTCTGTATATATCACTCGGTATAAAATGACCTCCTTATAAATATAAATTTCAAATATTCAATGTGATATATCTCTAAATCATAAGATGATTATCTATTCTATTCGTCAAGATAAGAATTGAGTAGCTGAATTCAATTTTCATCTTTCTAGAAAGAAATTTTCTACCCCATACATACTAACTCTGATCTACCCATAACAACTCTAAAAAATATGCACCATATCCATATCAGAGAAAGTTTTGGGTGAATAGAAATAGAAATTTCATAAAATAGGAAAAAGATATTGAACTTTTCAAAAAAAAAAAACAATCAGAGTATATTAATAGGAAAGATTTTTTGAAACGATTTTTTAAAATTTTGAAAAATCACATTTTAAATTTTTTCCAGAAAAGATAGCATATTTTTACCGATTTATTGAAAAAGTCTCAGTTTAAATCGTTTTTTTTTTTAAAAAATGGCATTTTAAAAAAGCGCCGCTTTTTGTAAAAAGTCACGATTAAATCGACTACTTGCTAACTATGATTGTGACCTCCTTGCAGCAAAAAATAAATGGTCTTATCTCGTTAATATCGAAGAATTATGAATCATAACAGCAAAGGGTTCTGTTTATTCAAATAAAACATATCACTTAAACAGCAAAACAACCTTACAAAAAGGTCGTTAGTTGGAGCATGATTGAGGAGAAGGGCAGTGGACGTTGGAGGTGATAAACTTGTATTGGGCTTTGAAATAGAAACAAGCATGGAGATTTGTTGCTTGTGTGAACGTTAAAAAATAAATAAAAAATAAAAAATAAAGCAAGCATGGAGATTTGTTTGGTGTTTTATCATATATAATCTTGAATTTTCTTTGGAGCACTTGTGATTTTCCACTCTACATGCATGAGGTCTCCAATATCTAGGATACCAATTGAAATCTTATATTCGCTCAACCCACCATTTTGCAATGAAAAATCAAGATGATAATAATGGAAATGATTTAATAAATTTTATTATCTATAAAATCTTTTGAAATATGATAAATAATAAGTGGCTCAATAAACTCTATTATTAGTCAGACTACAAAATCTTTGGAAGTTATCCACAAAATAAAATAACTTCTCAACATAATACATATATCTAATTTAAATCTATCAAAAGCAAAATTCCTTGAGCTCCCATGTCCATTTACACTTAGTCGAACAGCATCGACTGTAATCCTTCGCTTCATCCCATCCCATCATTCTCGGACTTTGGCACTTTGAATTCTCGCATTTTTCTACTTTGCACGGCAGCTTCTGGTTAACCCAGATCTTTCTAAGGACCCACTTAGTAATGCTTCTACAAGATGAAAGATTATGGTCAATCCTTTCCATATGCTCTTTTCCTTCTGAATATTTCCCCTCACTGATAAGGATCAATCCCATTGCATAGATAGAACCAGGGTGACCTCTTTTAATCGCATTCCTTAAATATTCCTCACCCTCCTCTTTCTTCCCGGAGCAAAAGATCGTCATCTACAAAACACAAGAATGATATTTTTGGTAATGTATTTAGAATAAAAGCATTAAAACAACGGTGTAGTTTCTATAAGGTTGCAACCTTAAACAATCCATTTAAGGTGCACCTTCAAATTTTATCATAACATATAATTTTGATGTAAAATATTCTTAAGATTATCTCAAAATCTATTCTTATATCTAATTATAAAATTTTAAACTCCAAAAATGATTAAAATCAAGTAGATCTATAAATATATGAAAATCTTAAAAATGGACAGTCTAGATAATGTGTTGTAAGATGCACCATTTTTGGGACTCAAAATCATTTTTTTTTTGTTGTCATTCATCTCGAAGTCGAGATGATCAATTAGAGGGTTTTTCAAAATTTTAATAACCTTTTTCCGATGGATTTTTGAGGTGTATCCGTAGTTCTACATTTTGAACTTTTCCCTTAAAACAAGCAACTCACAAAGATAACACCAAGTTTTGTTAGATGAGTTCAATCGGTTGAATTATGAGTTCAACGCCTTTTACTCAACTGAAAATTTCAAAAACCATAAATACCTGAATGGCCAGCTTCTATTTTCCTTGTAATACAACACTATAGTTTTCATTTTAATAGACGGATCTTGACCTCGTACTGTTATAAAAGTAACTCACTAAGAAAAGAAAATCTAGTTATTGGTGATTGGATCACAATCCATTCAATAATAGGATGGGTTAAGAGAGAGTGACCCACCAACAAGACACAACCTTACGGGGGATCACATGCTGGCTCCACCATTGAGGTTTTGATATGCACCATTGACCATGAATCTCCTTAGTCACGAGGACTATGGCCATTATGACCTTTGATCTTAGGACCATGGAATCGTCATAGCCCCGAGGACAGGCGGGGGCACGTTACTATTGTTTAACTTGCAAAAGTTCAACATGTATGTATTTCAACGTGAAACTACTTGGCCAAGTCTGATGGACTATTTAGCCCCTGGCAGGTATCGAGGAACAACTTCGACATATTTAAAAAAAATTAAATAAAAAATATAAATTTGTCATATCAGTCAATGTTTCATAATTATATATGCGATTTTTAAATATTTTTATTTTTAGGAATATTTTTATAATAATTTGTAAATTTTTCGTGTCAAAAATGTTTTTTTATATTTATTTTTTTGAAAAAGTCTCTAATTTTAAATAAAATTCTTTTAAGGAAAATTCTTTCATGCGTATTGGACCGCTTTCTACATATCCGGTCCAGAAAGTGTAAAGCATCCATCTAAAAGATGGATGCAAAGTACGTGTTCCATCTAAAAACAACAGAAACAAACGGTCCAAATATTTTTTTACTAGAAATATTATTCCTAGTTTTTAAAATTTATTCATTTTCTCATATTCATGATCTTCTTCATGTTAGAGATTACATGTCTTTAAAAATTAAGTATTAAAATTTATCTCAAAAATAGATTTATTAAAAGGCCTGCATTTCTACATATACAGGCTTGGCCACATAGAAACCGGGTCCTTTTTTTAAATATATTATTTTTACTGATTCTTTGGACTCTTTATGTCGTGTTATCACTTTGAAATTTGTGTGTTTTACCAATTTTTTTTTTAAAAAAAAAAGATTAGAGATTTTTGGGGCTGTACGTTACTAGTGGCTGAGTTACTCGTCCTCGGACAAGTCCGAGTCTAAGGCCCAAACCGAGTTTAAAAGAATTGATGCATGATTATTTATCCCCGCCTTCATTGATTTAGATGGTGATGATCTTATAACCCTGAGTTTCTATGGCAACATGGACCCTTGTTCCTTTTGTTATTGAAAAATGAAGTTAAACAGACAACTATAGAATACCTGTAATCAACTACTCTGGTTTCACGTGAAATCTAGGTAGGGATATAATACTATGAAATTAAACCAAACCAAGTACCCCAAAATATAACAAGAACAATGAAATAAACTATGAAACCTGAAATTAAAACAAGAACAATGAATCTAAATGAAGAACCATGAAATAACTGAATTTAACAAGAACATCAAACTATGTCGAGAACTGTGAAATTAACCACGAAACCTCAAACTAAAACAAGAAGAGATATGAATTTAAACCAAGAACTATGGCATAACTGAACTGTGAAATTAACCATGAAACCTCAAACTAAAACAAGAAGAGATTTGAATTTAAACCAAGAACTATGACATAACCGAATTTAACTAGTTTCTTTTTATACGAAATTAAGAGAGATGATTACCATTCCCAAGAGGTATTGGGCTTCAGGATTTCCTGCATCTGCACATCGTTTGAGGTATGCCGTGGGTTTGTTGTTCTTTTGCCATAGGCTTTCAGCAACTACCTCCCTTGAAATTCGTTGCAAAACCAAAGCGTCTTCAGAGAGGCTCTTAAACCTCTTACACCTACCATAAAAATCATACAACTCAGTCAAAGAGTTGTGAAAGAAAGCAAGGAAAAAAGAAAAGAAGATAAAAGTTTCAGAAAGGATTTAAACAAAGAAAACTCACGTATTTTTAAGCGCATTGAGATCATCAAACGACACAGAGTCGACCATGATCTCTGCAATCATTTCATCAGGAAGACGTTCAAAAGGCTGCTTGCGTTTCTTGGACATGATTGCAGAAGAGAGAGAAGCAACTTGAATTTCTCTCTCAATATGTCTCTCTAGGCACGGCTACCTCTCTCTCTAAAAATCCACCCTTCTCCCTCTAATTCTCTGGGCTCTGTGATCCTTTCTCTCGCCTGCTTCCTCTTTCTAACTCTCAAAGGCTCCGTCTCTTCCTTCTCACGCTAACTCTCAAAGGCTCTAACCAAAGTGCCGTCACCTCTCTTATTTATCTCTTTAATTTTCTTACAACAGATTTCTGTGTCTTCATTATCTCTTTAATTTTCTTACAACAAACTTGTGCGTCTTCAGGGACTTCAACTCTTTCTTAATTCCAATAGTACCTACGTTCCCCCGCCATCTTAACCCTAATAAATTGTACTCCCTATATTAATGGGATTGCAACAGATATCCTTATTACAATAGAATTTAAATAGCTCAATTTAATCCAAAAAATTAGGCCATATCCATCTAAAAGGACTCCTAATTACAATAGAATTCTAACTAACTCGCACGATTAAATAACGAACTTTATACCATGCAATGGGACTCCCAACCATAATTGATTCTTTAACGAAAATCTACAGTTAACATTCGAAAAACAAAGGAGTTAATTATGTACGGACATAACAAAATACTAAATTATGAAATGGGTCAATTTTTTGTTAAAACTGCACGGAAGGTCAATTGGCTTGAGGTTTTTAATTTTTTTTCAAAATTACCTTTCGGTCCGAAGATACCACCTTTGGATCGCATTTTAATTTTAATTTTTTTAGTTTTTTTTTATAGTAGGGTTGTGCCCAGTCGGTCTGAAGTTAGCATCATCAGACCGACGTTTGTGGTGCTCTTCAACGAAGCCCGAGGTTGGCACCCTTGGACTTCAAAGACTCCTAGGTGCCCATTCTCGGACCCGCTTCTCTGGTGCTCTTCAAGACGGTCCGAGGTTGGCGTCCTCGGAGTGCATTAGCTCATTTGTATTCTAAGAAATAAGGTGGTTTGAGGACGTCAACCTGCTGTTTGGACTGGGTACTGCCCCTCACACTAGGGCATTGTCCTACTAACGGAAAAACTATTAAATAAAAAAAAAAACCTTAAAAGTCATCCGAAGATGCCATCTTCAAACCGATGGGTAATTTTGGAAAATTTAAAAACAGTTTGACCGACCGTTCACTTAATTTTCCCCTAAAATTGGCCCATTTCGTATTTCCTTTATCTTTTGTACGTAAATTACTCAAAAAACATAATGAACTCTCTATCCTTGTGGGGCTATCTCACTTTCCAAAATTCAAATAATTTAAATTCAATGGTTCTGAGAGATAATTTATAATGCTGCAAGCACCTAACAAATAAAGTTTATTCGCATTTATACTATAAAAATGAATTGTCATATTAGATATTTTTTATTCTCAATGATGGTTTTTTATTATTAAAAAATACATTAGTTACAGGAGTTAGGAAGGAGTGCTAAATTTTTACAAGGCATATACACCGATGTTTTGAAAATCGGCTAAAGCCTTGGACTTCGCCGTGGACCGAGTCAGGTAGCACCGTAACATAGCTGAATTTGAGTGGACTCAGCTGAGTCTTGTATAAGATTGACCACTTTTTTTTTTATTTTTGGAATTTTTACTTGTTTCAAATTGAGTAATTTAAAAATAAGGAATTAAATATAATTTCTTCTTATTAAAGCTTTTATGCATATACAAACTATTTGAAAATAGTTAATATTTATTATTCATTTTCCAATTAATATAAATTTGTAGCTTTTATTTTATTTATTTTTTAAAAACTATTATATTTATGGGACTTAAAATAATTAAAAAAACCGGGAATCGCCCGTGTCCAGAGAGAACCGGGCGATTCCCAACAGTGAATCGCGAGTCTTACACGTGAGAACCGTGAGATTCCCGACAATGAATCGCGAGTCTTACACGTGGTTGCGGGCGATTCACTGTTGGAATCGCGAGTCTTACACGTGGCCGCCTCACGGAAGCAACATGTGGCACCTAACGGGAGCAACACGTGGCACCTAATAAAGCTTCACACGTGGCCACCTCACGGGAGCAACATGTGGCACCTAATGGGAGCAACACGTGGCACCTAAAAAACCTTCACACGTGGTAACTCACCTCACATGTCAGCCCCATCGCTTTCTACACGCGTAATGTAATATCTATTACTCATGAATATAAATAGAATAAAACAACGCTCATCCTTCGATGTGGGATAATTCCCACAAAAAATCATTAAAGCAAGACGATTGAATATATATTATTACAGAAGCTAATATATTCAAATTAGGTGACGTGGCGGTGTTGGTTGATATTTTCGATTTTAATGGGAGGTCTTGAGTTCGAACCCCTTAGCGTGCGAGTCCTCGTTTTTTATTGTCAAAAGAATTTTTGTTGTCGAAAAAATAAACAAAGGCAGAAGGCATAAAATACTGTTATAAAAAAATAAGAAAAATAAAAAATAAAAGGCTTTTCAAAATAAAAAAATTAGAAAAATAAAAAATAAAAGGCTTTTCAAGATAAAGATAAAAAAGATAATACACTAATTTGTTTTTTCTTGTAAAAAAAATACAAAGTAATATAACAAGTATTTATTCTAAAAAAATAAAACAAAAGGCATAAAAAAATAAAATGTATTTTGGCAGCATGATTTTTTTATTTAAAAATATTCTATTTTATTTAAAAAAATACAATTGACTCATTAATTTTTTGAATTTTGAATTTGATGTTTTAAAATAAGTAATTTAAAACTATGGAATTAAATATAATTTAACTTCATATAGTTAAACAAAACTCTTATTTATATGCAAACTATTAATTAAAAATAAAACGGCTAGAGTGAACCTCATTGAAAACTGTGTACCAGTCAGAGAGAAAGAAAGAGAGAGAGAGAGAGAGAGAGAGAGAGAATGGAGAAAGCTGCTGAGGATGACGATGGTGGCCGAGAGGCATCTAATCGGAAGGAAAGTCACTTGAGTCTGAATGCTGAGGATGTGAAGGAATCAGTCAGAAGATTAGCTTATATGGTGGTCGGCTCTTTCTCACCACCCTCTAACGACCTCTTTGGATGGGAGATTGGGCAAAGAGGGTGTGGAGCTTATCATATGTCCCTTCAGTAAGAAAAAGTGGAGGATAATAGGTGTGTTTTTTTCATGGCCTGTTCAGAGGGCGTTGCAAATCCCAATAAGGTGCGTGAGAGGTAAGCTCGTAACCATTAGAGATTGGAGCCTTTCCTTTCATGCTTCCTTGATTCAGAAATATTTTACTTGGGTTAGATTCATTGGTGTCCCTATGCATATTTTGAATGTCAATGTTTTTCAAAAACTTGGAAATATGTGTGGGGAATTTGTTAGTATTGACTGGAATATTATGAAAAGGGGAAGATTTGTTTTTTGTTAGAATCAAAGTTGAAAGGAACTCGTTTGCACCACTCGCAAAAACTATTCGAGTTTCCATTCATTCTTAACAATGATTTTTTCATTAAAGTTAAAATCGAGGGGCTTCGTAATACTCCAAGCTAGGCAATAAAGGCGACTCCAGTGGAAGGTTATGTGGGGGGGCCCAAGTGCTTAGAGCCAGGGTGATGGTTTGGAGGGGCTTTGGCACACAGTGGGGCGGAAAGCTGTTATCCTAAATTCAGATAGGGGTCAGATAGGCAAAGCTGAGCTCAAACTCAGACTTCCAATGGAGTCTGCCTTTAGGAGAAAGGCGGTTAGATGTGAGGAAAGGGAAATGGAAGGTTTGTCAAAGCCCTCCAAAAAAAATTTGAAAATGAAAAAATCTTATCCGATAAATTAGTAACTTGTTCATATCGATGGAATTTGAATACAAAAGTGCATGGGCCCGTAAGTAGTCATGTTGATTCGGCGGGTCTCTAATGAGCATTTTCGGCAATCTGTGTTTTTGGGGTAGGTGAAAGTTCAAATTGTCTCGATAAGAGTCCGGGCAAGGAAGATTTGCTGGGCTCGGCTATAAAGGGGAATATTACTGATATAAAGGGGAGTAAGCAGGCTATTTTAAGTTGAGCTGAAGAGGTTCTGACCTCCTTGGCTCTCCTTCTCAAAATGCACAGAACTTTTGCGGCAGCGTTCTTGATAGCTTTGGCAGAAATCCATGGCACCCAGATTCCAGCCGTTCCGTTTTGGAAGGTTGCTCACAAGAGGAGGGAACGAGGGGCTAGAGTTCCTCCTAAGGCTCAAGGCCTCCCGATAATAGTTTTGGATCAAGATGAGGGGCTTAATAGTGCTCCTCTTCAGATGTTGCCTGCTGCGGAATCTCTACCTTGAGCTCTGGATATGATAAAGAAGATAGCTCTGAAGATGATGATGAATATCCAGTAGACCCCTCCTACATTGCCATCGCTCAATCAGATGGAGAATCTCGGTGATGGCGTGGCTAAGAGCTTGGTTGATCCAGTTGCAGAGGAGGGGGCGAATGATATGAGGATATCCGTGCAAAAGATGGGAGGACTGAGGAAGAAGGGGCAAGAAACAATGTTGGTTCAGAAGGGAATCAAGGTGCTACGGGGGGATTAGTCTATTCTGGAAAGCATGGTTCCAATCCCAGATGATCCTAAGGACTTTGTAGGAGTCTTTCATGATACTGGTATGGGATTCAATGTCCCGATAGCTAGGGGCTGGAAGTTATAAAGGAGAAAGTGAAGTCTATGAAGAATTGAAGGGAATCTGTTGATTTGGAGGTACATCACCAGATTCAAGACTATGTAAATGAGATACGGCTAATGGAGGAGAGGAATGCTGTGATGAATGCAACTCCTACAAGGTCTTCGTCTCGAATTGCTTTGCATAATGGGGGAATTGCGACTCAAGAGTCATCCAAAGGCAAAAAGGCGGCTTCAGCAAGCTTGACATCTTCATCTTCCAATTCCTTGTCTAAGGTGATGTCGGGTATCAGATTTAGATCTGCATCTCATTTTAATGAAGCTGATTAGCTGGAATGTTCGAGGGATGGGGAGAGGCTAAGCGAAAGCGTGAAATTCAGATGTTGGACTGGAGCCACAAGCCGGACATTTTGCTTTTACAGGAAACTAAATTACCTTCCCCATCTTTGTTGTCGGTTAGGGGTGTTTGGGATGGGGAGCAGGTTGATTTTGTGCGGCTGGATGCAGGTGGTTCATCAGGTGGAATGTGGACCATGTGGGATCCAACGCCTTTTAAACTTTTGATATCTGTTTTGGGGGAAAGGATGTGTGTTGTTGTTTTGGAAGGGATTTTAGATGATTTTCATTGGGCTTGCTTTAATGTGTATGGACCAAACTTATATTCTATGAAAGAAGAATTTTTTAATGGTACTTCTAGTTTAATTTTGGACATTAATCTTCCTTATGTTATTGGTGGTGATTTTAATATGATAAGATGGTATGTTGAAATATCATCCAATTCTACTCTGAGTAAGTCGATGCGTATTTTTAACAATTTCATAATGCACCACCACATAGTAGACTTTCCCGTGAATGGAGCCCACTACACTTGGTCTAATAACGGCACGGATAACCTTATTTAGAGTAAGATAGATAGATTTATGTGCTTAGATGATTGGGAGTTAATATTAACCTTATTTAGAGTAAGATAGATAGATTTATGTGCTTAGATGATTGGGAGTTAAGATTTCCTTTGGCCAAAGTGAATGCCCATACTAAATTATCTTCGGACCACATTCCACTATGTCTATCAATAGAGAATTCTACCACTGGGCCGAAACATTTTGGATTTGATTTGGCTTGGTTGGAAGAGTCTGATGTTCTAGAGCTTATTACTAACCCATGATAAAGCTCTTTTGCGTGTTAGGGAGTTATGGTTTTTGCCTGCATAAGAAATTGGTTATCTTAAAGCACAAACTCATTCAATGGAAAAAAAGAGGCTAAGTTTCATATCAAAAATAAAATTGTGTTGGTTGAAATAGATGTAGTGGAGTTGACAATTCAAAATGGGAATGGGTTATCTCCTCAATTGAAAGAAGAGAAGATGTACTTATCGAATTCACTTCATGATTATTTAAGATTGGAAGAGATTTATTTGAAATAGAGATCAAGAATAAAATGCTAAAGGAGGGGGATTTAAGTGAAAAATTCTTTCACTCAATAGCAAATGCAAGGAGAAGGCAAAATGATATTTTTGGAATCCTATTTGAAGGAGTTGGTGAGGATGATAGAGCAGCTTGGGAATTGGAATTTGTGAGCCATTTTCAAAAAATATTTTCTAAATATTTAGTTTATACCCCTAATCTCAGGGGTTTGCATTTTAACAAATTGTCTCTGGATGAAGCTAGTTGTTTGGAAAATTGGGCTTCACAAGATGAGGTGAGACATACTGTCTTTCGCTTGCCAGGGGATAAGGCTCCAGGCCCTGATGGATTTTCTTTGTAGTTTTTGTAATTGTAAATCTTTTGGGATCCAACTAAGTTGGAATTGGTAATGATGGTCAATGAATTTTTCGATAAGGGATCTCTGTGCAAGGCTATTAACTCAACTTATATAGCGTTGATTCCAAAGAAAAAATATTTTGCTGGAATTGCAGACATTCGCCCAATTAGTCTCTTGACAAGCTTATACAAGATCATTACAAAAGTTCTGGCAGAAAGGATAAAAAGGGATTTTAAATAAAGTGGTTACGGGACCCCAATCTGCTTTTATTCACAGGAAGATAATTATTGATGGGATTCTAATTGCACAGGGGTGTATCCATTCTAGAGCTTTGAGTGGGGAGCCATGTGTCTTGATCAAGTTAGATTTCCATAAGTCATATGACTGTGTGGATTGGGATGTTTTTTTGAGGTATTAAGCTGTATGGGGTTTGGAAAGAAGTGGTATAGTTGGATTAGTGAGTGTCTTTCTAGTACCCATTTTTCCATATTAGAGGAAGGGAGCCTAATAGGTTTTTTTAAAGCTTCAAGAGCATTAAGACATGGAGACCCTCTCTTCCCATTCTTGTTCACTGTGATGGGGGTAGCTTTAAGTAGATCTATTACTAATGTGGTGGAGAGAGGCAGATTTGAAGGATTTAAACTATCTCTAAATAGTCGGCAGGTATCACATTTACAGTACGCAAACGCCACATTCTTTTTTGTGTGGCTTCGGTGGATCAGATTGTGTATATCAAAAAGAATGTTATGGTGTTGTGATGTTGGATTGGGATTGAAAGTTAATTTTGATAAGACATCAATTGTTGGGATCAGATGTGAGGATGATGTTATTTCCACGTTAGCATTCCACCTTGGATGCAAGTAGATAATTCCCCATCAAATATTTAGGGATGCCTATCTCAAACCGAAGATTGCCTCGATCAGTTTGGGATCTAGTCATTCAGAGGGCGACTATGAAGCTTGATTTGTGGAAATCCAAACACTTACCTCTTTGAGACGGAGCTATTCTAATTAAATCATTATTCTTGATGCCAAGCCCCTAGTTAAAATCGTTGAAAAGATGATGAGGAACTTTATGTGGGGATTAGGGGATTTCGGTAGAAAATATAATCTTGTGAGCTGGGTTAAAATCGTTGAAAACATGATGAGGAACTTTATGTGGGGATTAGGGGATTTTGGTACAAAGTATAATCTTGTGAGCCGGGAAAGGGTTTGTACTCCTTTTGCGGAAGGGGGCTTGGGGATGAGAAAATTGAAGTATATGAATTGGGCTTTGTAGGCAAAATGGTGGTGAAGATCGTTAATTGGGGAAGATGCTTTTTGGGTTAATATTTTAAAATCTAAATATGGAATGGATCGGGATAATATGTGGATAGGTGGGGGACGAGGTCCAAGATACCAATCTTTCATCTGGAAAGGGATTTTGCAGAATAGGCTTCTTATGAAGCAATTCATTAGATGGGTAGTTGAAGAGGGGACTCACGTCTCTTTCTGGAATGATAGATGGTTGGGAGATGCTCTATTGATCGTTTCTTTTGTTTTTTAATATCTCAGGATATCCTTTGGAAATGGTAAGCGAAGTTTTCCATAGAGATCGGGATGTTTGGGATATTAGGTGGTATTTATAATAGACTAAATACATCCTTTGGAAACGGTAAGCCTGGTTAGAAGAAGTCAGAATCTTCATGGATATTCCGGATGAGGTGGTGTGGGAGAATCGGGTGTTTTACGGTAAAGGATGCGTACTCTATGTTGTTCCATGATGGAATTCGTTGGAATCGTAGGGCTCTCAGCAAGATATGGCAATGGAAATTCCGCAGAAAGTCAAGCTCTTCTTATGGGTTCTCTTTCAAAGTAAAACTCTTACCATTGATAATTTGATGAAGAGAGATAGAACTATCACTAATGTTTGTCTTTTATGTAAAGCGACTGATAAGAATGGTGATCACATTTTTTTTCACTATGCTTTTTCGTATAAAATATGGTGTTGGTTCTTCCAAATGTTGGGTCTCAATGGTCCCATACCACAAAGCAATATGCACCTAATTGACCAATTGTGTTATGATTATTTGCCGAATATTGGGAGCACGATAATCCAGATTGAAAGGGCAGCAGTGCTTTGGGAGATTTGGTTAGAAAAAAATAGGCGAGTGTTTGAAAGGGTGTCATTGGAAAAAGATATGTTAAAAAGAGGGATTAAACATACGTTGTGGAGTTGGTTTTCAGTGATTAAGGAAGGATTTGGTGTATCAAAGGTCGACATTGATGTTAATATTTTGAATCTTATGAAGCAAGCAGTAATCAAAAGTCATCCAAAAGGTAGGTGGGTAGCTCCTCAGGCATTAAGTTGAATATTGATGATGGTTCATATGGGAACCCAGGGCTGGCTGGAATAAGGGGTTATTAGAGATTCAAATGGAGATTTTATCTTCTGTTTTCCAGGGGCTTGTGGAGAAACGACTTCAAATGAAGCCGAACTACTTGCTATTCTACCGGGCTTAAAAATTCTTCTGAAAAGTAAAGAGAAATGGAATCATTGTATTGTATTGTTGAAGGAGATTCTCTTAATACAATCGAAGTGCTCTAAGATTTAGATACCACCCTACAGGTTGAGATCAACTTGGATGGAAGTAATGGACATTGGAAATAATTTATGCCTTTCCTTTAGACGTGCTTAGCAAATGCGCATGCAAAGAGGGGGGGTTTCTCTACCTTCTTTGATGATTTCTGATTTTGCTTTTGTTTAGCATCTTGTAACCTCCATTGATCAATAAAACTTTGAATGCTGTCGGAAAAAAAAAAAAAAAAGGGCTAGAGTGAGTAATAGAAATTATTAAATGTTCATAAACAATGAAACAATATATAAAAGATGGATTGTTGAAAAATTTGATTGATATTTTGAAATATTTTAGAATAAAAAAACTAGAGCATGTAATGAGAAAAGTTCCTAAATCATTATAAAAATCTAAAAATCGAAAGGCTCTAATGATGATAATGTATTTTTATATCATATTATAGTGATTTGTTAAACAAAATTGTGTTTCTCTTTTAAATTTTTTTACTACGTAAGTAGTTCACTCGCATCGGCTCTAGCCCGGCCCCCAATTGCTCGGTCGAGTTTGAGTGGATCCATAACCACTATTATGCAAGATAAAGAATAAATTCTCTTTTATTTTAAAAAGTATACTTGACACTTTATTTTTTGAATTTTTAATTCCTTGTTCTAAAATGAATAATTTAAAAATAAGCAATTAAAATATAATATCTCCTTCAAGCAAACTAATAAAAAGATAGTTATATTTATTTTCAAATTAAAGTAAATCCTATGATTACTTTAAATTTATGTATTTTTATTTCATTTATTTTTAAAAACAAATAACTTATGTTTGTGGGATTTAAAAATAACTTATATCACAGTATTTTCTGAATAAATAAGGTTTCTTTGGATGGATGTACATGATAAAAATAAATTCCCATATTAAATACTTCTTTGACCTTTTTAAACAAACTCCTATATCCCCAAATGGTTGAAAAAAAAGCTAGGACGTTGATGATGATATAGTTTAGAAGTTACTTGGCATTTCTTCTTATATAGGCTTAATAAGTTTTTTGAATAAAATTTAAATATGTCAATTGTTATATTTATATCTAGGATTATTTTTAGTTTTTAAATAATTTAGAAATTATTCAATTCTGGATTTTAAAAATTATTTTATCTCCCCGTGAGTAATCTAATAAATAAGGTTATTTCCTATATGAAACGAAATACTTTCTCTAGTTACATAGTCTTTCTATTTCTATTCATAACTTCTTTTAAACTATATTTATGACCATTGAATATGAGGTCCAAAATATTATTCATCATAGACCAGTTACTTAACGATACCTTCCAACCATGGTTACCCATTTCGGTAAGCCACGTGGTAACCAACAAAGTACCCACTTAATTTTTATTTATTTTGTTAATTCCCTAGTTGCCTAGATAAAACCCTATTTTTAAATGATAATTTCTTATTTTCACTATTTTGATTTCTCTCTAAATAATCGTTTTTCCAAACTTAAATCTTCTAATATAAAACTACAAGCAAGGAAAAGCGAGCTCTATAAATGGAGGTGGATATAAGCATTTGATTCTCCATGACTGCCCAGTCCAAGATCTCAAAGAGTCCCTGGGATTAGCCGAACATGGCCATATTAGTGGTTCAGTTTGGGCTGAGCCCAGCTTGGGCCTGATCATATACTTAAGTTGCATAGGGTCTGGGCCTGGACCAAACCAGCTTTATAGATAAATGCAAAATTTTAACTTAGGGACATGAATTTTTCCTATTTATGGGTTCGCAGCTCATTCTAAAAACATGTAAAGCCGCATAATAGTCACCAATTGATAAATCTTTTTGTTTGAAAATGCTAATTTGTTTCCCCAACTAATGAGAGTTTTGCTATATTCTTCTTTTGAGAGTAACTTTTAGCCAGTGCATCCCATAATTCCTTCGAATTATTACAATTTATAAACGTGTGATTCAAGTTTGGTTGCATAAGCTTAAAATCCAATTCATAGTAATCATTTCATCAACTTCCCAATCAGCATAAGAATGTTCTTTTATCTAATTTCACCACCCAACTTTTTTCTACCTTCAAGAAAAAACGCAGAAACAAGCAGAAAAATCATCATAGTTACAAAGAACATTGTCAACAATGTTGAATCAAGCTTAAGATACAACCTAACCATCAACAATGAACCAGTAGCTTAAGATACAACGTAACCATCAACAATGAACCACACCAAGTATATTTGGATATATGTACAGACAACGATGATTTACATTTTTTTCCCACTATACCACTGGCACTAAATTCACCACATTTGGATGCCAAAAAAAGCTACAATAGCAACATGTACCCCTTTCTATACATATTTTCATGGATCATAAGACTTAGTGAGAAGCCCAATCCTTTTGAAAAGACAATATTTTCATTCTACTATGCCCCATATATCAGTCTTAGTTCCACACAAATGCTGAGAGAGCAGCTTCTTTGTAAAAGAAATCACTTTACCAAGACCGATGTCAAAACAACCACTGCTCCACTGCTAAAGTTTCCATGTGCAACTCACTTCCATTATCCTTTCAAAACCCTGCATTAAATAAGGTAAAGGACCCAATGAACACATTGTACCAGAAAATTCCTAGGCAGCAGGTTCACCTAATTTTGGGTAAACTTTCACATTTGAACAGATCTCAAACTGTTAAAGGAATAGCCTAGCATGTTGCAGGATGACCACCCTTTCTAAAGAAACTCCAAAAACAAAGTTTCAACTTCTCTTTGCATGACAAACTCCCTTTCTTCTACATGGACCAGTTATCGTAGCACTCAGTCAGTCAAAAACCATGATGTGGTAGAAACGATGAAGCAAATATTTCTCCTGTCCTGAGAGCATTTGCATCAATGGGAAGCTTAATTGCCATTAGATTATATGATGTACCAATCTCTCATGAAGTCCTTACAGGCCTCCTCAAAATGAGGTATTTCCAAGAATCTCACGAATTCTCTAGAGATTTTCCCCATAATCCAAGGAATTACAGATGAACAATATGAATTTCTGTAAACTCCATTACTTTGAATTGATTGATTCAACCTTTCATTGCTCTCAGACTTGGTAAAAGATACAGGCTCTTGAAATTATCAAAAAGGTCTTGGCCTTGATCGATCTTCGAGAGGTTGGTGTTTGGAGAAAGGCTTGCCCCGAGAATAAGAGGATGGCTTTTGAACCATGAAGTTTTTAGCTATTAAATCCAAGTCAATAAGCAATTCCTTGATTGGCATCAGCAATCAGAGCAACCCAATCATCAAATTGCATAAAGCATTGCCATTGCCTATGACCTGTCAATTTCCAATCAAGTTTATACTCCAAACACATTCTAAATATGGAATTTTATCAGTGAAAACAATCGAAAAGGACAGGAGAGAAAAAAGACAGAAATAAAATAATAGGCTTTATCAAAGTGCTCATCTGAACTCCTAGAGTGCAGATCTGAATCCCATGTTTATCAACAAAGAAAATATATCTTTCTTGAACTTCAGCAAAATTCAGCTTTGACCATCTACGTATCAGCCTTCATATCCTAATTTTTTCCACAATTTCCCTCTAACTTTTAAAAGTAGGTGTTCTCATATTTTCAAGTATATGGTGCCCCCCATATTCGTGTTTGACCTTTTCAGATTCTCCTAAGATATGTTACCTAACAATGAATTTCTGTGAAAAATTTATTCTGATATGAATTCCATTAGTGCCTCCAGCCCAAATATTTAAAAAACTAGAGAAATTCACAAGTCCAAATTATGAAACCCGGAGTAAGCCTATAACAAGAGAAAGAAACACCACACCCAAAAGGCTTTCCGTTGACAAGTCTGAGTGACATTCATGCAGCAAACATTCGCAATAAAACCTATTCAATGGTTTAAACAGCAACATACAACATCATAATTACATTACGGTCTTGCTATTGAAATGCATATACAGAGTTAATATACACATCTATTCCTTCTTCTAGTTCAATGTCTCCTCCACTTCTCTTTTAAGACACTTCAACTGCAACTTGTGTGGTGTTAATATCCCCACTGAGACCATAGTACCACCATAACAGTTCAAAGTCTTCTGAAGAACATATCATCTCGAAACAAAATGGGTTTTATTATAATCTGGTAAGAACCAGACCCACCTATGTGAGATTCTCTCCCAAGTGCACAGTCATAAAATGTATGGGGTCGCAGCAGATGCCCCTTGGAGTAGTAGATTTCATCAGCCACATTTGTGACACTCTTGACTATTAGTCAAAAGACCATGGTAGAAATGTTTAGATGGAAACTCCCACATTTCAGGTGCATCCTATACTGAGCAGAAGAAAATGTTGGCATGCATCATGCTTCTTGGAACCTCTCAAAGAGGTTTCTACTGTATAGCAAAGTCCTCACTTCCTTGCTTATAACTGAAGCAGAAAGCTGCTGAAATGGGAGGGAGATGAAAAAATAGTTACACTCACCACTTGAAACAGCTGCAGAAACAGCCTTGACTCATTTGCGAAGCATGCCTCAAGATCAGAATGAGAATCTTTATGATCAAACATTCTTTCTAGAATAAGGTGGGACATCTGTACCAAAATTTTATTGCTGCTCTCAGCAACAGCTGCTAAGGTTTGCAACAATCCACACGGATTATGCTTTTGTGCCAAGAGTTTACTTTGGGGAGAAGATATTTGCTGGGAAAGCTGAGCTTCATCTGCTCTTAATTAATGGACCCAACCAATAATTCCATCACAGACATTGCTTAGAGTTGCTCTGTTAACAGCTTGAACAGCTTGTGTTTGAGACTCAGCTTAGCACAAAAGCACAAAAGCCCGCAACTCATCAGTTACAGCTTTCTATGGTGAACAGACAAGCATGTGAGATCTAAGGCAAAGTTTGGATGGGTGCTTAAGAGATTCCTTTCTATAGTCCATGAAACCTCATCAATGGATCCTGCAACAAAGCTATTGGAGTTAGTTTCACTGGTGAGCTTGAAACTTTCTGAGCCAATTTGTTGAGCAGGGCTCCGTAATAGTGCTAATGTTAAAAACATGGATAACATTTGGCATTCCCCATGTTATGTGGGTGTGGGTTTCCAAAGGGCTTGAAGGCCGCCTTTGTACTGGAGTAAATGGTCATGGGTCTTGTTCCTTTGGTAACACTGCTGTTTTCACGAGAAACAGTATGAATTGCTACCAATTGAATTGCAGATAATTGTGGCCCATTGAAAGTCTCAAATAAGTAATCAACAAAGTTTGTGTGAAGCCTTCAGGCATGGCAAGAGACTACTCGATGAAGAATTCTGGCTGGGCTCGAGAACTACAAGTTGCGTCTGCAGGAGTAGGCACGTTAGAAATGCTTATGGAGGACTGTATTTTGGGGAAAATATCATTACAGGCATTAAATTATCCTATACAATCATTAAAGGATCCGATTTATCACTGCAAGGTTTACTTTTTAAAATTCATTTTATAAAAATACCTAAAATTTTTTTTCAGAAATTAGCTCCTATTAAGGGTAGGAATCCTAAACTACCAAGGGCATATTGGTAATTTGGCCCACTTAAGTGGCTCGAGCTAAATTATGAAAACCCCTGGTTGTTTAGGGTTAGGGACATAGAACTACCAAGTGACAAAAATACCCCTAGGTCTATGCTAACCGTAAAAAACAAGGGGTATGCTCGTCATTTGGTCATTCCAGGTTCCTAACCCTAAACAACCAAGGGCAATGTTCAAAAAAACACTGGGCGACGCCTAGGCACCTGCCCCGGAAGGGGGGAGGGTGGCCCAAACCGCCAGCACCTAGGCAGCCGCATGGGTAGCCGCCTACGTTTCTAGGCAGCCCATGTGGAAGAACAGGGACGGGAGGTATCAGAAAAAATAGTTCTAGGTCCAAATTGTAAAAAAAAGCATATTGAGGTTTTTTTAATACATCTTTTATGTTCAAGCAAATCCAAACTTCGAAGACAAACCAAAGTATTTGAGATTTGGACAATTAGTAACACATTAAGAAAAATAGGAAAATATAATTCAACATTCAAATTCAGTACTAGAAAAAACACATAGTCCATAGTCCATAACTCCATTCATACACTCCATAGTCCATACCCTTACCATGTTAGTCCATAACTCCTTCCATACACTCCATAGTCCATACCTTTACCATTATTACCATCCCAGTACATAGTTCATACTCAATAGTCCATACACATAAGGAAGGAGGGGGGGAGGAAAAAAATAATGATGTTTGGATCGATTTTTAAAAATTTTGAATTATACCAATTGATCTAACATAAATGCAAAATTGCGCATTTTTCCTTTTTTTTTACTCTAAAATGTAAAAAAAAGGATTCACTTGACATAAAAACCTAACCTCCCCCCCCTCCTTCCCCACCTTATTTAGGGGAAAAAGACAAAAATGCCCCTTCACAAGGCAGGCGGGTGGCACAATCCCAAGGCGGGCGCCCAGGGACCCAACACCCAAAAGAGGCGCTTTTTAAAACTATAAGCAGGGGTATTTTTGTAACTTAAGTGGCCCAAATTACCAAACCATTGGTTGTTCAGGATTCCAATCCTGTATAGGGGTAATATGGAACTTTTTGTTCAATTATTTGAGGAAGTAAATTTACTAGGAAAAATTTCGCAAAATTTGTTTGAGGTAAATTTATGAAATGACTTTTAAAAAGTATACCCTGTAGCGATAAATGGGTCTTTCGAGCACTATAATGATTTTGTAAGATAATTTAAGCCTTTTAATGATATTTCCCTTTTATTTTATGGTAACAGGTTATGACAGAAAATCATTTTTCTTTTCGCTAAACCTTTTTCCCATATGAAGGAAAATTATTGAGCCTAAAGAACGACCATTTTATATAGTTCTATGATCAAATCAACACTGCAAATTGAGGTGATCAGATGCATGTCAGATGTTAGAAGCCTTTTGACTAAGCTTCCTCAAAGGATTATCATCATCAGGTTTGCTCTAAATTCCAACTAGTAAGATAATGATACACTTAATTAATAAAAGGAAGATATATGGTCCAATATAACTAACGCATAAGAACAAACCGATAATCAAGAGATCAAGGCATATTAGATGTGGAAGGAAAGTCATGGCTAGAAATGGAAGCCAACTTAAGACCAATGGGAATACAAATGCAACCCTAGAACTTAAAACTGAACTATATGACAAAACAAAGATGGCCAAAGCCAATAAGAGGCATGTTTTAGCCAGGATGTCTTGCTTACCACTTATATTCCCACCTCTGCTTCACTTTAGCCTCAAACCTTCAATTATATGGTGCTTTCCTGCAAGGAAGTAGCACAATCAGCCAGTAGCAAATCCTTAGGAGCATCTCACAATGAGCTTAGTTTCTCATATTTTTTTCTAATTTTTTTTCAGATTTGAAAATTAACTATAAGATCATAGGTATCTCCAACATAAAAATGCTGGGGGATCACGAATATTAATGGGCAAGTAGTGCCTAACAAAATCAGCAACACTTCCAGCAATCTCAGACTTAATATCATTATGGCATGCACCAGCATTCTTGTTCCTTTTTGTAAAGTAGACATCGTTAAATAACTAGAGAACTTTGTGGGAATTGTGCGTGCATGCTATCATAAGACCAAAAGGCATGAAAGTGTTTCCAAACAAGGCTCAGGCCTAGGAGATAAAATAATAGTGATACCCCCCCTCCTTGAAGGTCCATATAAACTGATGGAATTGCAAACTGGCACATCCTCCCATCCTAAATTAAGACTACAACTTTACAAACTTACATGACAGAGCTAAGAATAACTGATATTTGCAACCTTGCAAATAAATGCACTATAATACCATCTTTTGCTACATCTGATGTCAGGTTTTCATTCTTTAATTTCGAGTTGGACTTTAAGGTTTTCATACTTTAATTTGTGTTGGGCTATAAGCAAAGGACTGCCATTTGATTTCTATCAATAGCCATAGGCAAAGATCACAAACTGATTAACAATAATGTGCAAACCAAAGTCGGAATGATTCACCAGGATGAATGCTGTATAGATGAATTAGCAAGAACCATCATATTGGAATTTTTAATAAGAATCTGGCATTCGATTACAGATATGAAAATATGGAAACATATAGAAAAAAAACATACGAGATGACTACACAAGCCTTATGATGAATCCAACATATATTCCTCAGCCTCCTAGTTATATGATGAATCAAAACATATACTATGGTGCTGCATGACTTTCAATGATTGATCAAACCATGAGCCACAAAATAGACAAGTTCTTTCACTTCCAAATTAACAAAAACCAGCCCCCAAGCTGATGACTTTAGCCAATAAAATAGTAGTAGAGGAAGTTGATTTACCTCTTTATCATTTGTCCTTCTTTTTGGGTGAATCCCTTGGCTACTAGCCTAGCCTTGTGTTTTTCTAATGAGTAATGATCCTATGAGACCCACACACACATAAGGAGTATAGGACCCCGATCCATAACCGTAGGATTTGATCCGCATCTCGAAAATATATATATAACTTGTGTACACCTTTTTCAGTTCACATTAATGTTATTTAATTCTGCCAACTGCCACCCCACATTAAATGACTGACACAACCTGCTCTTTTTTTTTTGTTACAAGCGTCTCTCTCTAACTGCTAAAAGCTCCTCTCCTCTCTCTCTCTCTCTCTCTCTCTCTTAATCTACCCTTCCATGGGTCTCTCTCTCTGACTGCTAAAAGCTCCTCTCCTCTCTCTCTCTTAATCTACCCTTCCATGGGTCTCTCTCTCAAGCTCGCGTAAGGGACTCTCTATCTCAAGCTCGCGTAAGGGACTCTCTCTCTCTCAAAAGGGGCTCGCCTCTCTCTCAAGCACATTGAAGCAGGTGTTTGCGTAAAATACTTAAAAGTAATCCAAATTTCCACAGCCTAGTTTTGTCTTCTCGGGCCAAATATGAGACTACCCATTTTTTGTCAAAACAATTTCAATAACATTGCTCAACTACTTGACCTCGGTTTTCTGTTTACTGAATGCATATTTTCGAAAAAATGATCCCAATGTGACTGAGAAGTGGAGAAAAGCTTCATTGATCTTTTGATTTGAAGAATTAAAATTGCTCGCAGCCAAAAACGCGTCCTCTCAGCATCAAATAGAGGCAGACAAATGCAATGCAGGGATGGAGACTTGCAAAGGAGCAAGAGAGAAAGCAGAGGCCACTCTCTTTGCAGAGCGAAAGTTTGGGCTCAAAGAAGTGGGCGTCTAGGCTTTCTATGACTGTCCCATTCTCAAGGTTGAAGAATCAATAACCAATGATACACTTGATAGTCTTGGGATCTACTTTTGTCCTATTTTAGTATGGGATTAGGACATGGGCAGAACAGCCCCACACTCTTAGGTGGTCAAGGGACGGAGTACGACAAGTGAAAATCTCATGGGTAAGAGGGGTAGCCTTAGTGGGTGGACAGCTCAGGATGTGTCTTGTCATCAATACTACTTCTCCCCAAAAGTCCAGGGAGAGCTTTGCATGCCCCATCATACTTCTCACCATTTCTACCAATGACCTATTCCATCTCTCGGCAACTCCATTTTGTTTAGTGTATAAGGCATGGTGTATTGATGAATAATACCATGCTCTACACACAAGTCCCTAAAGAAATGTGAGAAGTACTCTTCGCCCCTATCAATTCTTAGGACTTTGATTTTCTGGTTTGTTTTTCTACCACGGCTTTGTATTCTTTGAATCACTCTAAGGCTTCGGATTTTGTATGCATTAGTACACATGGCCATCTCGCGAGTGATCATCAATAAAGGTGATGAAGTACCTTTTGCAGTTTTTGGTAGTCACATCATAGGACCGCATATGTCGCTATGAATGATTTCTAAGACCCTAGAAGTTCTTTGTGCCCCGGTGGAATTTTTCTTTATTAATTTTCCTTGCACGCATGATTCACACGCCTTTGATAAGTCGCCTTCGTAATTTTCCAAAATTCCATCTTTTCTTAATCTTTCTATCCTCTTATAACTTATGTGCCCTAATCTCATGTGCCATATGAAAGCATTAACATCATTGGAGGGAGACGAGACATAAGCAACCTCTTCCTTTATTTCAATAGAGTAAAGATCGTCTTTGAGTAGACCAATCTTAACAATCTCATGGTTGTTATTCACTATCATCTTATTTGCAGAGAAGGTAGTGATAAACCCTGCCTTAGCCATCTTTGGGACCAAAACCAAACACCTCCACATATCAAGAGCATAACGTGTTTGTTTTAGGACCATGGTCTTCTCATTCTTCATTTCTAATGCATAGTCCCCAACGCCCAACATTTTTGTCATTTTGGTTTCACCCCATATAGATGTGTTGCTCGCTCGGCCCCATGGGCTTAAAGATGCGGAAGCCATCCTTGGTGTTTGACAGGTGGGTTGTAGCTCCCGAGTCAAGACACCAAAATGCACCGTAAGGGTCGGCTAGCAAGGTCTCAAATGCTACACATGCATATTTTATATTCCCCCAGGGTTCTTCTTGAACCTACAATCTTTGGCTATATGCCCAACCTTTGTGCATATGTAGCATAGCCTATTCTCTATCTTTCCCTTAAACTTATTTTGATGTTCTCTCTCCCCCTTTTTCTGTCATTTACCCTCTTCTTATTCATTTTCCCTTTCCCTTTATTAGGCTTAAAATAAGGTTTAGAGTTTACCATATACACCGCATCTTTGGGTGCCGGTGCATTGCAAGCGTTTCTTCTCTCGTCCTCGGCCTTGAGCAAGGTGATGCGCTCCTCTAGCCTAGAAGCAATCTCTCTAGCAGCAAGAGAAGATATGAATACTTCCCAAGAAGTAGGGAGAGTATTCAGCAGGTGAACCACTTGCATGGGTTCCAGGTCCACATCTCAATCGCCTCCAATTCTCGAACAAGTGCTTTGAAGGTGTGCACGTGCTCCACAATCTTTCCACCCTTGCCCATTTTCAGATCATTATACTTCTTCATGGCCAGGGTTTTTCTCATAAGAGAAGGATCAGCATACTCCTTCTTAAGTTGATCATGCATCCCCTTAGCGGTTTTAATGGGCCCATACTTGGATGCATACGAGTCATGCATAGCCACAGGCAAGATATGCCTTGCGAGTATATTCTGGTGCTCCCACTCAGCATATGCATCCCTCATAGCCTGAGATGTATTTCCTCTAGGCTGAGATAGAGGAGCCTCAGTGAAGACATTGTGCCAACCCTTCTCATAGCGCACATAGCCTAGCTTGCGCTTCCATGAGGCATAATTTGTGCCATCAAACCTTTCAGTCCTCAAAATCCCGCCAATAAAACTTCGTGCAGCCATATGTTCTTATCCCAAATAAAATAAAAGACTCAAATAACAAAAAGAAAACAAACTAAGAGCAACAAGAAACTCAAGCTCTGATAACATTGAAAGTTGGACGGGATGAACTAGCACGGTACATGCGGTTTTTAATTTTTCTCTTTTTACCGGCTAGAACACTTACATAGGTCCAAATAAAACAAAATAAACTCAAAATAAACAAAGATGAACAATAAAAGAGAATTCTCGCTTGCTGCCACTTACAACAACACTTTTATTTCAATAACAAAAATACCAAGGTTTCAAAAAACGCTAGGTGACCCCTAGGCAGCGCCCAGAACCTCGGGCGCCTCGTAGTTTAAAAAAACAAGAAATGTCTTACGTCCCTGGGCGCCTGCCTGAGCGTCCACCCAGGTACATCTACCCTAGGCGCCCGCCTAGCCCACCTGGGGGCCCGCTCAGGTACATCAGCCTGTGTAGGGCCGCCTGGGTCTAGGCGGGCGGATTTTGGTCCAAGCCGCCTAGGCGCCAAGCAGACCGTTTTTTAAAACATTAAAAAATACATAACACACTCTTGGGATCAAGAAACACAAACTGCATAACATAAAATAAAATGCCAGAAGATTACCTCAACTGGACTTGATACACCCCACTCTAGGTCTCCTCCTCCGATGGCGCACGGGATCAAGGTCTATCTCAAATCTTATAGGTATGGGAAGCCTAAGCTAGGAACCCTTCAATCACAGAGAGCAAGGTGGAACAAAAACAAGGCCCCAGGCTATATGTGGGGTGTGCCCCTTCTAGGTTAGAGAACTGAAGCGTACCCCCTCTTTCTCTTTTTACAAATAATTTTCTAACTCTTGGGGAGGTTAGAGAGATGAGAGAGATCAGAGAGAGAGAGGGTGGCGTGACACCTTTGTGAGGGGGAGAGAGAGAGATGTAACTTAGGGTGTTGAGAATGGGACCCCCCATAAAGACTATTTATAGGCGCATACTTAGAGTTAGGTTTTCTAGAGTTCGCCATCTTTATGGATAATAAATCCAGACTATTTATCATAGGAGACCTGTGGGGTAAGAGATCTTAGCCTTACAATCCATAGATCAGCCATCATGATCTAATGGAAGATGTTAAAACCTTATCCTTCAACTTCATTAACCTAATCCCATCAAATATTCAATACATGAAAAACATATTACTCTTTCCTTTAATTTCCATAATTCTCTTGCACATCCTTCTTTGACAAATCAAAATATATTTCTTTCACAAAACCTTCCTCTTTAACTCAATCAATTAGATGTCATATGCATGCCTCATTAAAATTTAAAAGGAGGTTTCCATTGTGTGGGGCGTGCCACTCATGGAACCCTATGTGGGCCCCACGCACCTCCCCACATGTCATATTTTGGTTGGGCCCATGGATAATAATAGGCCCCATGTGTATTATTAATTTTAAAATTATGAAAATGATTTTTAGAAAATGTTTGCTATTTTATTTTTCTCTGATTTATTAAATACTGAAAATTCAGTTTTATCCTATTTATAAGTCAGTTTTGAGAATATAAAATACCCAGAGACTTCTACAAAAAATTTGTTTTATCAATCTAAAAATCATTTAGAGTCAAAATAATTATTCTGAATTATTTTGATGGGATTCGGATCCAACTATGTTAAGGAAATAACGAATTACTGAAGCACTCCATCTTCTACTAGAGACCATGGACCACACTCACTTTCTCAAACTAAACCAGTAGTTCCTATGACCCACAATCTATCACAGGGGTTCATGATTAGGCTACCAAAGTCAGCCAATAGGTGAAGGGCCTAGTCTATGGATTACAAGTTCCCCCTAGGGACAAGTCCTAGGTCACACAGACCTGTGCACACATTTTGCATTTGGTGCATATGGGGGTTATTTCTCGCACATGTTCACCCTCAATGGTGCTTTGCTCCCCGATACGGTTAATCTGGATGCTCTGATAATGTATTGACGATATTGATTGGAAATGCTTAAATAAACACTAGACTCCAAATGATTAATTAGAGAACAACACACTCAAGGCGAAATTCGCCCGTACATTCCATATCATGAAACACATGTTTTTATATTATATTACTGGGAATAGAACAATTCCAAAGGTTTAATCCTCTGTTACAATTTACATCAGCTATGATAGGCCAAATACCCTTGATTCGAGCCTTGAAACCTATATACATTATTTTAAGAAAGAAAATATACATACGCACTCGAATAAAATACAGTACCAAGGGTGTATGAACCCATATACCTGAATTGAAATGCAGGGGTACTGTTCGTGCAGCCTGCTCCTTCTTTGAGATCGGACTTCAAATGGACTTAAGCAAAATAAAACTTCTCTATCTCAAATACATTTCAGAAGACAATCATAAAGGGCATTGTTTCTTCACGCACTGTGTATATAGTCACTCTCTATCTCTCACTAAACACAGTGATTCAATCCAATGGAATTCACTTCAACAAAGTTGAACTCAACAAAATCGAACCCTTCTTTGATCAAGAGATGGGGTTTATATAGACTTAATCAACTGAATCTTCAACTGATAAACACCTAGTCGCAATCTTCAATCTGCATCTTTATATTTATGCTGATAATCATCTTGATCCTTATCTTCATGCGCTTCATGCTGATAATTATCTTTATGCGTAAGCCTCACGCTGATGATCACACCCTGTTCTAACTGGATAAATACGTGATTTTAAATGGATTTGTATACACGCAAAGGTGTCTTCTGATGTTAATCCCATATTTCAGTTAATGCTCATCATCAATTTTAATTCGTAGATCCCAGATTCAACAAGACATCGCATGAGCAAAATCAGGGATTCTGTTATCTCTTATCGCCCATCAGTTAGAATTCTGCAGCGCAGTCTTGACATATCTTCATAATTCTTCCACTGTTCTCTGATGGTAAACCCTTTGATCATGAAATTTGGAGAGACAGAAGAGGTCGCAAAGACGAACACAATGGTTCAAATCTCGCTTCAAATGGATCGGAGAAGAGAGAGATCTTATTCGTTCAAATTAGTGTGTTTTTGCTGGAAATTGCATTAGCAAAACCAGTCTATTGCGGACGCAACCGCTTCCCACATATAAATCAAACAATGCCACACCTTTTAAGGGTGATAGGGCATTGAGTCAGGAATCCAATGGTCCTAGTCCCATAAGAAAATTCCTCATATCAAGAGAAAAATCTCAATTCTGGCAACCGGGGATCATCCTACCTGTAACATACAAAGTATAAAGCTTTTAAGGCTTTAACTGCCGGGGTATACGGACGATGGGTTAAACCACCTCCAAATGATATGAAACTTCAGGGTGAGGGATATGATGCCTCAAACATGATTCCCTGAGAGTCTCAACTCAATCCCAAAACATAAAATTTTGGGGCATCGGTCAAGGTATATCTTGACTAACGGTGAATATGGACATTGGGTTAAGCCAATTCCGAACTATGCCCAATTTGAATAATTCTTCGACATAGAGGCAGATCAAGCCTCATGGTATATATCTTTAAGGACTCACCACATTATGACATCATATGGCGAGGTATCCTTATTCCCCATCGATTAAGCCTTATCTCCTTAATGGACAATGAATTAAAAGAGACATATCACATATCATCAAAAGTTCTTCAATATCCGGTGGAGAGGCATATAGGGGCCATGAGAGTATATGTATCCCAGAATTTTGCCTCAAATTGAACTGTCTTCATGGTCTCTTATCATCGACCGTTAATCACTTTACACATGTGTGTAATTAACAATAGATGGGAAGCATATCATTCCATATCAAATTCCTCCACATATCTCATGGAGAGACATATAGGGGCCTTAGGAGTATATGTATCTTAGAATTCATCTCTTCCTGAGATTGGTTTTGATATCTTCTATCATCACCCGTTAGTCAAGATGAACATGCTTGACCGACGGCGACGAGTCATTGGTATCATATCAAATATCTTCAATATCTTGTGAAGAGGCATTTATGAGCCTTAGGAATATATGTATCCTAGAATCTATCCCATATCGTGATGGTCTGATTCCGTCTGTTATTATCGTTCGTAAGTCAGGACATATGGGGGCTGACTAACGACTTAAGACTCCGAAGGCATATTGGGGCCTTCATATGATGAATCTTGAATATATCATATCATTTATATCATATTGGGAGGCATATCACATGACAGAGCTAAGAATATCTGATAATTGCAACCTTGCAAATAAATGCACTATAATACCATCCTTTGCTACATCTGATGTGTTTTCATACTTTAATTTTGTGTTGGACTTCAAGGTTTTCATATTTTAATTTTGTGTTGGGCTATAAGCAAAGGACTGTCATTTGATTTCTATCAATAGCCATAGGCAAAGATCACAAACTGATTAACAATAACGTGCAAACCAAAGTCAGAATGAATCACCAGTACGAATGCTATATAGATGAAGTAGTAAGAACTATCATATTGGAATTTTTAATAAGAATCTGACATTAGATTGCAAAGATGAAAATACGAAATATATAGAAAAACACATACGAGATGACTACGCAAGCCTTTTGATGAATCCAACATATATTCCTAAGCCTCCTGGTTTATAATTTACATTTTCTTAGTTACTATGGTGCCGCATGACTTCAATGATTGATCAAACCATAAGCCATAAATTAGACAAGTTTTTTCACTTCCGAATTAACAAAAACCAGCCCTCAAGCTGATGACTTTAGCCAATAAAACAGTAGTAGAGGCAGTCGATATACCTCTAATCATCTGTCCACAATTTTATGAAGAACCATCGCATATGCATCTCTCCAAAATGTCTCAATTAACTCCTCACAAGTACTGTACAACTGTGCTTGACACTCCTCAAAAATCGAAGGCTTAAATACACTAACATACTCTTCTACAGACTCAAAAACTCCAGGGTCACAGCATCATGATCATCTGATAATCAGAGATTCAACGTTGCATTTCAGTATGGTCCACAAGCCACAGATATACAACAAGAAGTCCAGATCTTTAGAACAAAAATTTTCAAAAATCCAGTTATCTTTGGTAAGGGCCATTATAAGCGCTAAGAAAAACTTTAATGAGGAGAGAAAAGGAGGACTGCACTCCAGTAAAACACTATATCGATCATCGCAGTTTTGTTTAGGAGTACTGTAGTATTCTTCTTTCATTTTTTTCACAAGTAGACATGTCAGCAGCAGCAGGATAGCATTAGTATTTACAACTTTATAAACAGAAAATAGCATTTGATTTTCATGCAAATAGATCATGAGTTCAAATCCCACATGGGATATTTTACAAAATTTACGCAAAAAAGAAGAAGAAGAAGAAGGCAGCTTATCAGTATAAATTTCCTCATGCCAGCAATAAGTTCCTACTTGCGAGACGGAGATCAAAAAAACAATTAATCCCTTAATTAGAATGTGGATTTAAATCAGAATAAACAATTCTGAAGAATACAAAAGAAACTGCCATTGTATAGCTTTAAAAGGCAATGGATTTACATATATACCAAGTTACTGGGGGCCAAAACAGTCATAATAATTTATGTTCTATGAGAATCCCAAATAAGCAATATGGGTTCTGACCTGGGTGGAGCCAGAACATATCATTAGTCACCTTTTGAAGAAGTTAATCCACAAAAGTCTCTGCATATGGTGAATTGCAGAAATTTTGCTTCTTAGACAAAGCTGAATGCTTTTTATTTCCTGTATTTGGTTCATGATATTCCTTGTCTTGTACAAGAGGTCCTGTTTTTTTATTTGAGTCCTGCTGATTCTTAACTTGTTTTGATTCTATGGGAGGCATTGAATTCTGCCTAGATACAGATGGCAGAAGAGCTTCAACAGAAAAATCACTATTGTCGTTTGGTTTCTTGGACCCTGCTTGATTTCCAAAATTTATATCAACATTTGCTTGAGCTTCTTTATGATCAGAAAACTCTAAAGCTTTGTTTCCTTCTACTGCAATTGGGTCCACCTGTTTATGGTCTTTGGTTGTAGATTGCCCCAGCCTTTCCCCCAAGCGCTCAGGTTGAACATGAGAAACTCGGGTGGATGGAGAAGATGAATGATTCGCCTGTCTCCTTGGAGGTGGTGCTTTGACGGGAACCACTTGCTTGACCTCAATGGAATTAAGAAACATAGTCTGCCTCCCACGTTTCTTTCCCAGCATTATTTCCTTCTCATGGTCAAGCTTATTCCTCTTTCCAGGTGGAGTAACAAATTTCAAACCAAGACGAGATTCCATTCCTTTAAGGCCTTTCTGGTTAATTTTACATGCAGATTCTGCCAAGCCATCAATAGATACATCTCCTTTACTGCTTTCTTTAGCATGTTTAGTGCAGTTATTAGTCCCTTCACATTGGGTAGACCCTGAACCCAAAGAAGCATGAGACTTCTCATCTTTGATGCTATCCATAACTTCTGTGCCCTTGTTAATATTCTCAATGGCCTTCTCTGGATTAAGGAGGTCCTTTGCACTGTCTCGATGATCCATTTTCTGATGATTTTTCTCACCAGTTCTAACTGATTCAGTAAGAAGACTTATGTCTTCCTTAATATTGGTTTTTTCTTCAATGCAATGATGAACATCAGAACTCTGAGAGGGCCTTTCCTTATCCTGATAATTCATAGTTTCGTTGTTATTTTCTTGCCACTGATGATTTTCAGTTTCCTTGTTTCCAAGGCCCTTTTCTTCATCCGGAATGACCTTTTTGCTTCCAAAAGCATCAGTTGTCCCCTCCTCATCAGAACATTCCCCTTCTTCTCTTTCAACAACCTGGGCGCATCTAAGTTCTGGTTCTTGAGACCCCAAATCAAGGCCTATCTGTGATGATGACCCATGATCTCTATCAGTTGCCAACAGGTTAGACATTTCCTCATCTCCATAATTTTCTTGAATAAATGGCACAGAACAGTTCAAATCTAGCTCATTACGATTATGTAACTCGGGCCCCTTCTCCATATTTGAGAGAACACTACAACCAAGTGAAGAACCCTCAACAATGTACACTGAAGCATCATTTGCATCCTTGTGTGATGCATTTTCCTTGGAGGAATGCGCTTGTTTGACCCTTACAAAGGGCTTAAAGCCTGAACCAGATGAGGCATGAGAGAAGGCGTGGTTGTTTGATATCCTTTGACTCCCTTGTGGCAATGAAAAATGCTCCAAAAATTTCGATCTTGAAATGGGCAGTGGCTTTGACTGAAGACATCGTAAGCCATCAATCTCTACCTCTTCTTCACAAGGAAGCTCATTAAGATCAAAAATTGGCCTTCCTCGAGACCCCATGTCACATTTAAAGGAACACAATTCTGAACTTCACAATTTACAGGTCCTGCAATATTCTTCCTTGTTTCCTTTTCCCTATCAACAAAGGATTTCTGGAGGTTAACGATGTATTTGGACAGTGGTGAAGCTCCAACAAGAGTCAGAAGTTGTCATGACTCATGGGTGACATAGGCAGCAGCGATTCTCAAATGGAAATAGATTAATGTGAACCTGAAAATAAATTAATATGGATGAACAAAAGCTAAGATTGCTAAATGGAAGTATAAGATAAGTAAAATACAAAGCATAAATTTATTTATTTTCTCAAACATTGTACCCAGTCCTACACTTCATGCCCAAAGTGTTGTACACCTCAAAATCCCAATCTCCCATGCAACTGATGAATGTAAAGATCACCCATACATCACCGACTCTTTTTTTATTTTTCAAAGTAGAGACCATTTATTTTTAAACACAAATTTAAAGAAATTATCCATTTATAATTACGATAAAGAGATTAATTGTTTGCCAAGCACTCGGCTTTATTCTCTAGCTAAGTGCAAAGTTGACCATCTACCAAAAGCCAAGGAACTGTCAACTCTCATAAAAAATCAAATGTTCAAGTCAAACAAATAAAATATCAAGACTCAAATCTCATATATTTAGTAACAGATCGATCAAATTTGTAATGTAAAAATTATGCCATTATAATCCGGAAATGTAAAATACACCAACAAAATCCTGAAATGTAAACATGATTTAAAGGTTTCAAATAAAGCTCAAAGCTTAAATCAAAAGAACCAAGCAAGCATGCATCACTGACCGCACTTCCACCCAAAATAAAAAAAAAAGAAAGAAAAAATGCGCACAAATCCTCGAATTGGAATCATCTATGCACCAAATAAGCAGTCCAGTTTAGGGATTTTATATAAATGGCAAGTTTTATAACAGAGCAACAAATTCGGTATTCATGCTCTGATCAAATACCAGATTCTCCAATAAAACGTCAAATCAAGACAAAGTAACCAACACAACATTCATATCCCAGATTTATCACATAAATTTTAGAAATCCAATGCATCTAAACCCATGCAACATTCGTGTTGCAATCCAAATACCCGATTATGGCATAAATCACAAAATATAACAAAAGGCAAGAAATAAAGCATTCATATTGAAATCAAAATACCAGATATCTCACATAAATTTATAAATTTAAACACCAATCAATAAAACATTCAACCTTCAATGAAATATCATATCGCCAATCACAGAGAGAGAAGAAGAGGTGGACCGTGTAAAGATACAGTAATCATCATACAATCAATCAAATTAGAGAGTAAGAATATCATACATAGAGAGAGAGCATAAGAATGCATAAATGAATAGGGAGAAAAGAAAACCGAGAGAAATTCATAAATGTTCATCAGAGACCTTACCTCTGTACCAAAAATGAGAGGAGAATATAGAGAGAGAGATATATAGAGAGAGAGAGAGAGAGAGAGTGGGAAGGGACTACATCGGTGACATGGCCGTCAACTCTGGGGCGCGAAATTTTACCGAAATTCTCCGAAAGTTTCCCGAAGCCGGGATAACGGGAAATCCACGTTGCTCCCTTTCAAAGTTTCAATTATTATGCGTTCTCGTGATATTGTGTTTGTTTATATCAAAACATTATGTAAACAGATGCGCCAACCATTCGATGTCAGCACGGACGGTCGTCACAGTCTTTCCTCCATATTATTACCGGTTAATGTAGTACGCTCTTCTTTACAATAGGGAAGTGTCCTATATAGTACAAACGGGTAGTATAGTATGCTTTCCCTATTAGGCATGCCCTGTTCTTAACAACCAAATTAGGCCATATTTCAAAAATTCACTAGAAGAGGTTTTAATGCTTAAAAAACCTCAAATTGATCATCTCGACCTCGAGGCGGAGACGAAAAAATATATATTTTAAGTCTTGAAAAAATAGTGCATCGTGTAATGCATTTTTTAGACAGTTAATTTTCGAGTATTTGTAGATTTGCTTAATCTACACTAATTTTAAAGCTTTAAATTTTATAATTATAGGTAAATATAAATTTTCGCACCATCACAAAGATTTTCAATACTAAACAATATCTTTCGACCCCATTTGAAGGTATGCCTTACTTTGATTATTTAGAACCACTCTCTTTTTTTTTTCTTTCTTTTATGAACGGTATTGTTAAGAACCACAACCTTATGTAAACCATAACCTTTATTTATTATATCCACCTCGTTACACAACAGTTGAGTAATTTAAAGTCAAACACGCTTTTCGTTGCGTGCCTTTATTCAATATTTTAAGGGTACATGATAGTCGCATTAAAAAAAATGGCATTTGATGTATTCTATCTCAACCATCATTCATGCAAGCAACAAACAATTGTACGTTGCATACTGTTTTTGCATGCGTAATGGCATTTTTTCATACGTTTTTGCTGATGTATTTGGAATTATTTATTTCCATCGATATTTTAAAACATAGAAAGTTCTCGATCCAAATCATCGATCCAGAGAGAGAATTTGCCCAAACCAAACCAGCTCCAAAATGCTATTGATCCCTTCTGGTTCCCCTAAAATCCCCACTCTCATTTTTTTTTAAAAAAAAAGCTTATTTATTGTTTTTTAAAGTTCTCCCTAATCCCATCCCCCTTCCCTTCGCCCCTTCCCCCTCACAAATAAACTCTTACAACCGATCCAGCGATCGAATACAAATATATGAGGTGAACAATCTCTAGGTTTTGAAACACTCATCTCGGTAAATAATATAAAATATAAAACACAAATAATTGATCATCCAAGAGAGAATGAGAAGGGAGGGAGGAGTAAAAATTTTACATATTGTTAAAAAGTCAATCAACGAGTGAATATTGTATAAATTGTGTCACCACACAACCATGTTCATGTGGGGTTATATGATGGGAATCTCGGCTTAACTAGCGTTAAAGTATGGGTGGATGGCAGTTTAGGAAATATGACATGATGGGTTTCTTTTTAGGTATGGGATAAAACCAATACCTAACAGTCAGGAGAATGGCCAAGAACTTTCAGCATGGGGCCTCAACGATATGCATTGCATTAAATAAAACATGACGCCAAATATTTTTGGCTCCGTAAAATGTTATGTCTATTTATTTTCCAAATTTTCAGTTTGGTTTCTTTATATATCATTGATTGCTATTTGGTCACTAAGTTTAAAAAATGAAAACTGAGAAATTATATTGTTGTGGCTTCTTGGCACAACAGTTAGCCAAAAAAAGCCCTTATATTATATTTTTAGTAGATCACAATCATTACTAGCTGTGTAAATCGGACACTTCAAAAATAAATGATTTGATTTTTAGAGAAATCAATAGCACAATCCAATCACCCCAATTGTCATCATCCCATAGGGCTGATTGTGACATTTTTATTCTAAAAGTAAACAATTTTATTGTGTATTTTCCATAAAATGCTAAATCACATTCGGAATCAATCACATAATTAGACTATGATATATAGGATAAAGCCATGATTTTAGGTAATTCTAGTAAAAGAAAAATGATAAAACCGTGATTTTGGATTATTTATGTTGTTTTATGGGTGTTTTAGTCTCCATCTGTGGAATCAAACAATCTCATTTTGAAAGATAAATTTTGCTATTTTTAGTTGTTATTGGAAATGAAATCACAAGCACCTGTATTGCTAGAAAAATGTGCAAAAGATTCATATGCAGGGGACTAGAAAGAGTATTTGGTCAAGATGTAATAGCTAAATTCACCATCAATAGAGCTTGTTTTCAACTAATTGAGGTTGACTACCAAATTCTGGTTTGCCATTATGCTTTAATAAGGACCATATCTTCAATGTTGCCATAATTTCCGATATCTTTTCACATCACTTCTAACCATGTCATTTTAGTTTATAATTAACCTAGGGAATCAATTCAATAATCTTTTAGTTCAAGCTAAAATAAATCGACCGGTATTAAGCATCTTGATATTAAAGGGTATAATTACAAGCATCCTTGCCTTTATCTGCAAAAGAGACTAGTAAAATTGACCAATATTTGATGCATATCAATTAGTATGAAGCCATGGAAGACCTGAGCAGCGAGATGACAACTCAAAAAGATAAAAGGAGAAAGTTTATATAAGGGTGAGGCCCTAAACAATTAAATTAAGCTGCACCTCAAAAATTCATTAAAAGAGGTTGTTTTGATGCAAAAAATCCTTAAATTGACCATCTCGACCTCAAGATGTATGGGCAGGAGAAAAAACATATTTCAAGTTTTGGAAATTGTGCATCTTGTAATGCATTTTGTAGACCGTCAATTTTCAAGCGATCATAGATCTGCTTGATTTACACTTTTTTTTTTGAAACTTTAAATTTTATAATTAGATATGAAAATAAATTTCCAAATCATCACAAAAATTTTCAATAATAAAACTACATCTTTCAACACTATTTGATGGTGCACCTTACTAATTGTTTAGACCACACCCAAATATAAATGCTTCTTGCCGAATGCCTTCTTTGATGACCACTATGCAACCATCAACCCGTGTCATGGTGCATGCTCTCAATAGGCCAAATGCAAACATAGTGTGAGATTAGTGGTCATTTCCCTATATGGGCTTGATGTGTGTTATTTGGATAAGGAAAAGTTCGAAATAAGGTCAAGGCTTAAAAGAATAAAGTAAAGCTTCACCTCAAAAAGTTACCGAAAGCTATAGTTCTAGTATCGGAAAGCTTTCATATCGATGACCTTGATATTGATCATTATGGTTATGAAAAAACAAAAGAGGATTTCAAGACCTAATAGTGTATATTGTAATATTATCTAGACTATTCATTCAAGTGTTCATAAATCTACAAGATCTATATCATTTTTTGAGCTACAAGTTCCATTATCGGTGGTGAAAATGGATTTTAGAGCCAACTTAGTAAATTTTCATTCCCAAGGTATTTTCCGAACAAAATTTCGAGGCGAGGCTTAACGTTTTTTTATAAGGCCTAAAGAGGTTGCATCCTTTGGAGAATAGGTGTGTTTTATTCTTACCATCATTATCATCATTATCATACTTTTTTCCAATTAATTGAGGTCGGCAACTTTTTATTCTTAGCATGACTTGGAAAATTATTATTCTTAAAAAGGAGTCCAGGTCACTCAAAGTGAGATGTACTAACCTTCCATGTTGGATAGATAGGGATAATATACAATTTGTGAGATTAAAGCTCCACAAGTAGGATTTGGCTTGAGATGAGGCAAAGCTGATGCGAAATTGAGTCACTATAGAGGAACGCTTTTATGGTGCTCTCTTACCCACCACAAATCATAAACCAAAGTAAAAGATGAAAAGAAATAAACGTGTTGCTGAAGAATTCCTGCACTAATGTTTAATTAGAATATAAGTCTTGTTCAGTGGGCTCCAAACTGGGCCAAAATGAATAAATGTATTTAGATTCAACATCATATAGTAAAGGGTTAAATCTCAAGGGGAACATAGGGTTCCATTTATTAGAAAGAAAATGATATTGTAAAAAAATCTAAGCTAACATACAAACAATTTGCTTTGAATATGCACCTATGTGTGGACATGCAAACTAAAATACTTAGTATGGCTTAACTTTATTGGCAGTCCTGAAAACTTGTAGTATCTAGAGCCTACAATCATATGACAAAAAAGTTTTTATATAAGGTGCCAACCTTATACTGTACAAGTACAAGTAAGGTGCACCTCAAAACTCATTGAAAAAGATTGTTTCGTCCTAGAAAACCTTCCAATTGATCATCTTCACTTCGATATATATGAATATACAAGAAAAATTGAATTTCAATATTTATAATCGTACTTCTTATGATACACTGTCTAGACTATCCGTTATCAAGATATTTAAGTGTTTATAACAATGTTAGAAAAACCAAGCGATCTAATCGGTAATCACCCGGTTAGATCAGAACCGGCCCCTTGTCAGTTTTGGTTTCAGGCAGTTGGTGATCGGTAGGTATTTTAAAAATAAAAATTCAAATAAATCTATATAAAATCCCAAAAATAAGGAATTTGATTTGTAATATTTTTTTTAATATTTTTACATTATGGTAAATATTAAAAAATATTTTTAAAATCCATTTTTTCATTAATTTTCAACTTCATGTGAATGTGTTTGTTTTAATCAGTATTTACATGCTTTTCATATTTTGGTATATTTTTTTTAATCTTTTTTATTTTTTTCAACAATTTTTTGGATGCCCGGGACTTGACCGATTAGAACGGTTGAATCGGCCGATTAGGCCAGGTAAACCGATTCCGGCCCCATATCCAGTTAACAGTCCCGGTTCATATATATTATATGGTTTCCTCAGTTATGAGATATCAATTAGTATTTGGGCAGTACTGATATAAGTTCCCTTATGTGGGATG